ATCAGTTTAATTGAGGTATGGAGCTTGCATGTCAGTAACTGCTAGTAGTCCTTTGCTAATTTATGTATCACTGTCATTTTGCTTTATTTCTTTTGTTACCTATTCTGACATCGGACTTAGACTTCTTTTGAACTGAGTTTTACTGTGTGTATCGCTGTGTGTTTCTTTATTCTACATTGGCTAGAGGTATAGGGGGAGGATTGCGATATCAAAAAACATGTTTAACCCCGCCGCATTTTTGCGCCTGTCCCAAGTCGGGAGCCTCTGGCCTTTGTTAGTCTTGTATGTTTTTTTTTAATTTTAGTTCATTTATATACTTTGGAGTTTAGTATGACGTCCATTTTCACTGAACTAGTACACATTTTTATTTAGGGGCCAGCTGAGGACCACCTCCCAGTGCGGGATTTTCTCGCTGCGTTGAAAACCCATTGGTGGCCTTCGGCTGTTATCAGCTCTTTGGCCGGTTTGTTGTCTCTTTGACATATACCCCATTTCCATTCTCAATTTTATTAATCCACCATTTTCTACATAAGGAAATGCCTGTACCAAGTCTGGAACATGACAGTTGTTTTCCATTCGTTTGAAGTGTTTGAGCTTTTGATTTTGCCATTTGATAAGGGACTTTCCGTTTTGAATTTTCTTTGAAGTTTGGTATTTTTGATATTTCACTTTTTTTTCAATGATTATTACCTTATGTAATTTAGATATTGAAAACCGTTATGGTAAATATTAGAACGCAAAGAAATGTAACTAATGTTGTTTACCTCTTTCCGGTGCAATTTAATACAAGTATGAAGGACAGCTACGAGTGCAAATGATCATTTATTTTTTACTACAAAAATTGTTGATTACATAAACAGTAATGAGCTGATTTTTATCACTGTACTATATTTAGAAACATTGAATATCCCATTTATAACGAGAATACAAATATGGATAATTCATATCTATGAAAGGCGATAAAAAAATCATCGACCTTTGGTTAAAATAATTCATTATTGATTGCGTATTAGCTCACCTGACCTCAAAAGGTCATGTGAGATTTTTCCATCACTTGCGTCCGTCGTTCCTCGTCGCAAACTTTAAAGGGGGCATTAGCTACGATTTAGATAAAAATTCAAAATACGATTATTTTCATTTCAATTTATTAATAAAAGCAGAATTTAGAAATAAAATTTCGTTATAAGCAGTCAGTTTGGGCCAAATTTGTCAAAATAAGCTCAAAAACAACGCAGATGTATTTTATTGACTTGCAAGTCTTACTTTTTTTGGAATCTGTATTCATATCGCCTTCAATTTAACCCCTTAGCTGGAGATGGATTACGCATGTACTAGGTGTGTTAATCTATTAGAAGGAAAAGAATGTCAACATTGAAAGTGAAACTGGGGCAAATCATTTGTTTGACTGATTCGATCCACAATCAATCATTCTTCTACAGGTAAAACGATGATTAACATAAAATTGTTTTAGCCTATAATATAGAATCAAACAGACCTAGAAAAATCCAATTGCACGTGCTCACTATCTGTTTAAATTTATATTTACGTTTGTATCGGGTTATTTGACCGTCGGCAGTCTTAAAATGTTATCTCGATGGTTAATGATGGTTAATTAGATGGCGTCTAGACTAAAATACACTAGAATGCTGATACATATTATCGAGTCCATGCATTGTTAATTTTAATTTTAGACTTCTTGTAATTTAGATATACGTTTTAGAATGTTATAATTCAAGTATTAGAATTTGAGTGAAACCGGAATACATGAATTTTACAGCTAATGCCCCTCTAAAAAATCTCTGAAACTAAAGAACCGAATGTTACCAAACTAAAATTAATATTCCTTATGGTGTCTCGTTTAAAATTGAATCCGGGGATTTAATCCCTTAAAAACATGGCCAATGTTGCTTAAATAGAACATAGGTGGTATGAAGCAAAAATGTTTAGCAAAATAATATCTAACAATAAGTTAACATGGCGGAAATAGTAAATTGACCCCTCACTGGAGTTATTGCCATTGAAATATGTTTTTACTCATTTTATGCATTTTTCGCAGAAACCATAACAGATAGAGATAAACATTGAATATAATTAATGTCCAGCAAAATGAAACCAACATGGCCGAAATTGTTAACTGACTTCTTATAGTTACTATAGTTGTTTCCCCTAAATGATGATTTTTACCATTTTTGCATTTTGTCAAAAGGAAAATAAAATCTACAAATAAGTGAACATGGTTGACTTGTCCTATTCCTTATAGGATTTGCTGCCCTTATGTGTCAGAAGGGAAGTGAAAAACAAGTTTGTTTCCATGTTTTTATTGAAAACTAGGTAAAAAAATAAATTCAACTTTGAGTTTAAAAAAAAAAAACTGTTCCAGTTTATTATTGAAAAGAATAATTTTTTAAAAATTTAAATCGAAATAAATGTTTGTCCCGTGTGAATCAGTATGAATAAAAAAAATCATTCAAGGTCGGAAATAAAAATTCAAACTCTACTGTCAAAAGTCATTAAAGATGTATTTTTAAGCTTTGAAGTTTTTATTTCGACTTATGAGTCCATCGTTCTAGGACTATACTAAGAATATCTTAAGACACATATTTAGCTATCATATTGTCAGGACAAACTTCATCACATATTTTATCTTGGGGAAACTTTCGATAAACTGACATAGGACAAAGACCATCCAAAGACATGTCCTAGTCCTAAGACGGCTTTGTTGACATGGCGAGTATTTAAGGATTTTTCTTAGGAATTGTCCTAAGTTTAGGACACCAATTTTATGTGTTTTAAGATAGTCCTTACTTCAAGATATATTTTATAGATAAATTTGTATCTAAAACCCTCTTTTTAGCACTATTGGTTGCAACATTTGACATTTTCCTGAACAGTCAAGATGTATGCTTTCGGGAGGGCATGTTGTTCGGCTTCTATAAAATTATGATTCCTCTATTTTTTCATATTAACTCATATGTTTTGGCAGCATTGACATAGTTTAACCACTCTGTATTTATATGAAAAATGCACGACATTTGTCATTGAACTCTGTTATGTATGAATCTATTTTATCGTTGTAAATATTAATACTCAAATTGGCAAATCGTAGTTTAAATGTATTTTTTTTATAATCATTATAATAATACTTTCACTAATTTTTATTATTTTATCACTATTCTAGTATTCAAATATTATGATTACTATTGTCACTGGTTAATTGTTATGCCTTTTTATCTTAATATATATAGTTTTCATTTCGTTATTTTGCAATTTACTTTTACACAAACATTTAGGATAGCGGTTAGGAGATCATATGTAAAATGATCTTAAGACAGCTTCGATGTGCTTGCCCAGACATGTCCGAGGACAGTCCTAAGTCCATCCTAAATCATGTTCTAAGATATGTCTTAGGACAGATCATAGAACACCTTCGATAAACAGGCCCCAGAACATAAAAAAGGATAGTGTTAGGTCCACTAACGAAATGTCTGCGTATGCACATCGAAGCTGTGTCTGGACATTCGAAATAAGGACTTCCTAACCGATGTCCTAAGTGTAGGCGCAAAAGAAAAACACATAAATATGAATTAAAAGTATATAGAAATCCATCACATTTGACCAATTATAATAATGTAAAATTAATAATAGAGTTATAAATTAAAATTATGTTTGTTTTAGTTTGTAACCCGGATTTGTTTTTATCTCTATCAATTTATGAGTTTCGAACAGCGGTATACTACTGTTGCCTTTATTTAATATTATAGATATAATAAATAATATTTATGTAATAATTGTAAATTCAAACTTTATGAAACAAAACAAAACAAAATATAACTACATAACACAATAATGTAATGTTTTTGAGTGAATTGAATTCGAAGTTTCACAGTTTCATAGTATTACAGTACTTATCATTGAGTTCAAATGCAAATATAATTCATATTTGATATAATTACGTAGTACTTCAACTATTTTATTATAGCCAAAACATATACGCGTGAATACGAGCATGAGCAGGAATCCTGACTTTACAGTAGCCAAATAACAGACTCTCCTGGATGAAGTTGGAAAGCAGAACTCTTTACTTTTCATTAAAATTACCGATGTTGCAACCAAAAGTACGCACATGTAGAATCAATGGACGTGATAAACTATACTGGCGTAAAATATCAAAAGTTATTGAAAACCAAAATCAAAATAAAAATCAAAACCTCATTGTTAAACGCCGTATGGTGGCCTATAATTGCTTATATCCTCTTCATTTGAACTCTTGTGGAAAGTTGTCTCATTGGCCATCATACCACATCTCGTTATTGTTGTATTTCTACGAACACTATTCACCCGTTTCCTGAAATGTATATGAAAGTGGTCATATTTGTTTACATATCAAAACATCATAGAATATGTACTAAAGTTAGGACCATTATAAATCCCCGAAATTGGTGTCCTAAACTTAGCACAAATCCTTGGACAAATAATAAGTTGCGACATGTTTGATAAACCCACTGAGAACAAATATATACTATTTGGGTCATTAACAGTATCCATATTGGTTAAAACTTTAGTTTTAAATGAAGTCTCACCCTCGATGATTCATTTTTTTGTTTCCAAATTGTTTGAGTAATTTTGTGTAATTTAAGTTCAGTTATCCAATTAATTCTATATTTCAATTTCTCAAGTACTAAATTTTTTGATATTTTCCCATTTTTTTTCTTTTATAACCTATACATGGATTATGTTACCAATAATCAAATTTTTAAAAACAAGACATTTCCCCCAGTTTATATAGTTATTTCTCCATTTAATTTAAAAGGTTTACAGTTATCCCCTTGTGTATATTTTCTATGTTCTGAGTATTTTTAAGTAGAAATCTGCTATTACTTTTATACAGATTGGGATTGAATGGATATTTTCTATGTCTATATCAAAGAATCAAAGAAAGGAAATTCCCCCTAAAAAAATCAAAATACACAGTAAAAGATTATGTAAGTAGAACCTTGGTATTTGTTGAAAACTTCAGGGTATTTTAAAATGTCTCTCAAATTCAGACTTCCTTTTAACATTGCCATACTATAAATACTGATCATTACACATTTTTTTGTTCGACTATTCCAAATAAAATCACTGTCATGACTGTGTTAAATGTTTTCGTCATATATACTATACTTCTGCTAATATATACTAATAGTGTTGAGACTAAAAGAGTTTTAATGATAGATATTTGACGTAATAAAATCGTTGGGTTTCTTCTTTTCTAAGCATTTTTAAATTTTTTTGTCCTGATTTTTCGAATCGTTTTTCAAAATTCAACTTTTGTCACTCCTTTTAATATAGTCTAAAATATATCCTACGATGTTTTTCAATGATACATTGCCCTACAAACAACATGAAACTGACCAGCCAATTTGTTTAATTTTGTAAAAAAACCCAATTCAAGTCATTTTACAATTTATTGGGTATATTATGTCATTTTATGTAATGCCTCTCAAGGAAAGGCATTTCATTATTTGCCTAAAAATTATGGCATTTAAAAAGCCAATGTTTAGAAATTATATGTAACATATACATCCCTTAATGTATGTTTACATTCTACAATACTTACTGGTGAATCCGTCGTGACAAAATTATCTACATTGTTTAGGTATTTGTTTTGTTTTCAAATTTCAGCATGATCAAAACTCTACGAATTGTCTACATATTTAACTTACCCAAACCCAATCTTATTAATAAATTCTGTTTTAAAGAAAAACATAACTACCGGATGCTGAAATTTCCAACTTAAAAACTTAAAAAATATTATTCTAAAATATAATAAATATTACTTACCTTCTTCCAATGTAAACAAAACAATTCTAGCTGTCTTAAATTCCATAAAACATCACGAGACATCAAAGTAGAATTACAATGTTGTCACTGAAGCAGGACATACAACAATATAAAATTAATAAAAATTATCATGTTTGTATCATTGTAATATGGATTAAGGCAATACACATTTATTGTGGTTTGAAATTGAAAGAAAATATCTTATATCAGCCAGAAATGTTATAAATCTCATTATCATACGATGTCAAGAACGTGCAAGTTTTTTGTTACAGGTGCCCATTTGATAATATTTACATTTACAAATATATTTCCCGAAAAAGTGTTAAGAAATCTATATATATATATAAATAATACTATATATAAAACTAATAAATCATATTCTAACAATTTAGACAATATAAGACATGAAACATAGATATATCCTTTAGGAGAAATTATAAAGAGGGAATTTTTGTTGATCATTAGAACCATCAATCTGTCCCATAACTTTAGAAAAAAATATATTAAAAAAACTATGAAATAAACATACATTTTGCAAAAAATGAATTATCTTTCTTGTATTTCCTTGACCTATTATCGCTAATCTACGTTTAAATTCACTGTTATCATCAAATGTTAACAGACAAAATGAGCAAATGTGGCACCGATGTTAACAAAAACATTTAACACAATACGAAATTTCGTTACGCAAGAAACAAGATATAGAATAAGGAGTTGTGGTATGATTGCCAATGACTCAACTATCCAACAGAGTTCAAATAAAGTTTCAGCTTTATTATAACTGTTACAATATCATTATTGTATTTCGTCCACACGGAACATAAAATTACAAACTTTTTTCTGCCCAAACGGAAATTATTTTATTCAGTCCACACTCAATCCTCCTTTAACCCTGGACAGTGGTATAACAGCACAACATCAGAACAAACTGTAAACATCAGTTAGAAATGGTTGGAAGCATCAATTTTAGTACCGGGAAAACCAACATTCAAAGATATAACTACGGCGTTAAGTTGATATCCTACAAGAATGCGTTTTAAGAGAGTCGACACATTCTTGTTATACGAAGACAGCTAAAAAGTAACAAGGCCAATAATTATACTTCACGTTAAATGCTACATTCTGATTGGCTAATATGAGGGAGATAATTTACTTTATTATACTTCACGTTAAAATGCCAGATTTTGATTGGCTAATACGAGAGAGATAATTTACTCTATCCCATGGCTGAGCGGGAGACAATTTTTTGAATGTCACCCTCTCGTGCAGACCAATCAAAAATGACAGGACAATGAATTGAATTTACATCAAATAATTAAAGACAATACTCAATTTCTACGTTTTGGCTCAGAAACTTTTCATAGACTGTCAAAATAATAAAATGAAAAATTCTTGCTTCACTTCTGTTGATTTTTCTAATACCTGTAACGTTGTTATGTACGTGACGTCATAGTAAAATACTTTAAATTTTATATTCAACAGTATAAGTCAATAATGATAGGATATTCAGTATAATAAATTAAATAACACATAGCTGAGATGATGATAGAGCAGATTGGTACCCCTTGAAAAAACATTGTTAACCTTGGCTTCGCCTCAGTTGACAATGTTTTTTCGGGGTAACAATCTGATCTATCATCCTCTCAGCTATGTGTTATTCATATACTATCCTATGGCTCAGCGGGAGACAATTTTTTGAATGTCACCCTCTCGTGTAGAAAAATCGATAATTTAAAGGACAATGAATTGAATTTACATCAAAATTTTTAAAGACAATACTCAAGTTTTACGGTTTGGCCTCAGAACTTTTTCATAGACCGTCAAAGTAAAAAAAAAACATCTTGTTTCACTTTTGTTGTTTTACTAATAACTGTACACGTTGTTATGTACATGAAGTCATGATTTAATTAATTCCAAATTAAAATTAAAAAAAAACAATAATGGCAGAACAGTCAGTATAATATTCAAATAACACATAGCTGAGAGGGTGACCGAGCAGATTTTTACCCCTTGAAAAAACGTTGGCAACCTTTGCTTCGCCTCGGTTGCTTTATCTATTACTAAATATTACCCTGAAACTGTCAATTATCATGAGTGAAATTCAATGATAAAATGAAAATTACTATTTACGTCACCAGTTTAATTGTCTTGGGAGACCGACTCTGTGAACAAAATAGATACAAATATCATTAACTGGACAAATATTTCTCTTAATTTTCTAACCAATACTGGATATCAATTGTGAAAAAGATGACACCACTGGCAGGAAGTTGCTTTTTTAAATAACAAAATTATTCAAAAAGCAAAAAGCATATTAAAATGTCCTTCATTTTTATTCATTTTGGCTTTAGAGACTAATTTTTAAAGTAAATTGTGGTGAGTGAAATTATTTTGTCTTCAATTAAAAATTTTCATATTAACAGTTTTTGATAGGACTTAAATATTTCATTAATTTTCTTTTCGGTAGTGATATTTTTTATACAAATATAATTTTGGCATATTGCTCAAAGTCTATTTTTCTGCATTTTTCATGACGATCCTGTATGAGATCTTATCGGAAGTACAAAAGCTAATTCTAGAATGTTAGAAGGCATATTGTGTGCTTATACCCAGTCAGACTATCTTCACCATGTGTTTTTTTTTTTCTTTGTTTGTACGTCAATTTTTTCGTTTGAGTTTTCGAGGTTGGTTTGTTCTGTTGGTTCAATATTTTTGTAATTTCCGTTATTCTTTAATTTAATTGATATCTATATCAAAAGACTAAGCACATTAAGCTTGCTTTCAGAATGTTCTACGTTATCATTTTGAGTGTTTTATTTTGTACTTGTATTTTTATGGTCTGTAGTTACGATAACATATTTATCTTGACAGATTTTTAATTTTACACCTTTCTTTGTCCCCATTGATTATAATTTGCATTGGTTAAGAAGAAGTGGAGGTGGTTTAGTACTAGGAAAAAAAAGAAGAACCACATGTAGATGTTCCTTTCACACAGGGAATTTCGTTAGCGATGAGTTTAGTGCATGGTTAACTAAGTTCTTCCTTCGTTGAAGACTGTATGTCGACATTTTAACTTCTCTTCTGGTTTTACATTATTTAATGTGTTTCCGACAAAATTTGACATGTTAATGTATACCCGTTTTGAATTTGTGATTTCCATTTCGAAAAATTTGTACGGTCTAGTCGTATATGTTCAAATATAAAAGTTGTCTCATTAGCAATAATATCAAATCTCCTTATTTGTTTATTTCGATGTTTATTTGAGTGAGTCTTTGTTATTTGTATTCCATTGTAGGTATGTACCTTTGGCGCTGAGCAACACACTGACAATGTTTCCAAATTAAAAAGCAAGTATCTATTTAGACTAGATACTTAATTCAATTTGCTATAGTCATTTCACATTTTACTTTACACATCATAAAACTGTAAATTACAATCTATCTTGACCTTTGTCTTAAGATATGTGCCTCCACTTTGATAAGAACTTTAGATTAAAGATATTTACAAGATAAGATAATGTTATTGTATAAGTATTTCCAAAAATATTTTGGACGGAGTAAAAATAGCGGTAAGGTGTTACATATTTCTATAGTTTATAAGATTACTTTTATGCGACATGTCAACCTCTATGAAAAGGAGAAAATATTATGATGTTTAGATAAAAAACCATTTTAAACAATCTACATTAGAACAATGAAATAACTGTTATTGATATAAAAATGGTCACATCACGGTGGACCTGTTCCTATATGGAGATATACATGGGTCCCATTTTTGATATGTCAAATATATCAATTGGTTGGTATTTCACCCAGGTCAAATGCCAATGGGTAAGTAATTTTCATCTTTCGATTAGATATCGGTATACATACACTGTTTTATCTTTAAAAAAAATTAAGATGTAAAAAATTGTATATGTGATAATTGAAAAATATATGATTTTGCCATGAAATAAATCTATGGGTCGTGCTTTTCACAAGACTTCAATACTTAGTATATGAATGGAGTTGTTTTTCGAATCCTAGCCGCACGTCTGTACCCAAAATCCCCCTCCCCATAGGTCACAAAGAAATCCACAAAATACAACACAATAAAATGAAATTACCGTTTACTTATTCAGATCTGTTGAATTAATATGTTCTTTATGGCATATTTTATTTTAGATATCAACTGAAACGTTTCCTTTATCACTATGACTGAACATTTAAACTTAACGTCTGAAATAGATATTCAAACGAACAATACTCTTCAAAATGAAACAGCACAGTCGTCGTCTTCTGCACTTACAACAGCATCAGATATTAGTATTACTGCTTCTCTTGTTGTTATCATGCTTGGAATGGGATGTACAATAGAAATCAAAAGCCTGGTGAAGCACATTCGGAGACCAGTAGGAATATGCATAGGAATGTTGTCACAATTTGTTGTTCTTCCAGCTGTTACATTTGGTCTTGCGCACGCATTACAACTTCCTCCTTTAGCTGCCATTGGGATGTTGGTTGTTGGATGCTGTCCAGGTGGTTCGACAACGAACATATTTAGTTACTGGACAGATGGTGACGTTTCTTTGAGGTAATTAATGCAGTTATATATTATGTTGTTTTGCCCACATATTTATATCCTTTTATATTCCAGTTATAAAAACTTTGACAAACAGCTGAGCAATTTCCATTTAACACAAGGGTCATACTCATTCGAAGAAAAATATGAAGATCCATTTTGTTATTCAAAGGACAGATTCATCTTTGGCCAAATGATAAAATATAAAGGCATGCAAAATACAACAAAACCATAGACTTATTTAGAGCTTGACATTTGGTCTAGACGCCTTTCTATTATTTAAGGCTCTAAATTTCCCTCTTATTGTCTTTTAGATATTTTTGTCGTTCCACGTGGTTGCTTTTTCGTTACGTACATGACAACATGATGACCAAACGAAATAAGACAATATGGCAAATTATACCAAACAAAACCAGAGACTTAACAAAATGGCCCATACTAAAGTCAAAGGAGTCCGTTGCCCCGGAAATGTTAGCGTTCTCGTGTTCTATTTCGGCGTCGGTTGTATTGTGCATGACATGCAAGCAAGTCCAGTAATGAGTCGTGTTTGGAAAGATATTTTCTGGAATAATGTAAGGAGTAGTTTAAACATTATTATTCCATGTAAAAAAAAAAGAAAGAAAACGGCCCCAGTTCCAAAATTTTAAAACTCAATAAAGTCTTTTCCGAGAACTTATTTCCACTAAAAAGCATAACCTATAGAAAAACCATCTGACCGCCTCAATGATTTATTGAAAAATATTTCTTACTATAGATATATGTACAGAAAGTATTTTCTAAATATATGGAACTCATAATTTTTTTTTAGTTATTTATTTCAGTTCTATATTTTAATGCATATTTCATTTCCTATTTATATATACTTTTGAAGATCATTTGGTATCGTTTCTACATAAATATTCATAATTGACATTTTTAGTATATCGATGACAGCTGTGTCTACTCTAATTGCTATGGGAATGATGCCACTGAATTTACTGATCTATAGCCGCAGTTGGACAGACAAAGCTCTGGTTATACCATACATCAATATTCTGATATCGTTCGGCATGACTATAGGTCCTGCTGTGGTTGGTATATTAGTTAGATGGAAGATATCGAAACTGGCAGACATCCTTGTTAAAGTAAGCAAGTACGAAAAATACATAAATAAGTATAGAAATAAGATAGAAAAATACAGTTAAATAACAAATAAAAATAATAACTAAAATAAATATTATTCAACTACATTTTGAAGAAAGTAGTTATAATGTTTCTTACATTTTAAATATAAGAAAGATATAAAAAATTATGCGCTCGCCATAAGCACGATAATAATGTAAAACAACATCGAAAATGAACAAAAAAATGTAGATTTAGTAAACATAGAAGTCCATATCACCTGATGTGTATACAAGTAAACTTTTAAGGATATTTCAACAATTCACCACACAGAAACATGAAAAATTAAGCATTACGATCGCAATCACAACAGTCTATGATACACTACACAGAAAACCTAAGATTAAGCAACATCGATCCCACTAAAAATCTAGATGAAAAATTTTGATTAAATATCAAATTCCAAATTACTTTCAAAAAGAGACTCTTACTTAAAAAAAACGTCCTCTGAAATTTATCAAGTTTTTTTTGCATTTATACGGTATTTGTTATTTTTGGTTGGTTTGTTTTTTTATGTCGGTATTGGTATTTACAATACCCCTCTGCGTAATTTATTCCTTTAGTCAGATGAAAGTGGCTTACATGTAGCCTTCTACGTGTAGTTGAAGTGTAATACCTCGAAGATTATTACTCAAATTTGCTTTGGAAATCTTCTAGATTTATCTTCTCCTCAAAATTCAAAAGGTTGTGTCTAGCTCTTTGTCATCAGAAACAAAATTCCTTGACTTGCATATTTTAAATGGAATTTGACCATTAACGAAATTTTAAGATACAAAGTAGGTATCATAAAACTCAATTCAGAAGACAAACAACGACACTGGCATAAAAGACAAACATATGAAATCAAGAATTTTGCGCCATTAACTCGTGTTAGGCTAAATGTTTCCGATAGGAATTCATAAATGCTATTAGTCATGTAAATCAGCACGGAAAACTTATCTTGACAAAAATGTTACGATATAAGATTTCTTTTTCTAAGCATAACTTTTAATTTCAATCGAACACAAAGTTTTAGTAGATAAAAGCAACGGAATTAATCCTGAATTATGCAAGGATGGATTAAGCTTCATTAAATCATGCACATTATATAAGTTTATTTGAATGCTATGTTCATTATTTTTTTTTATCTTTATTGAATTAAAAAACGGTAACGTAATATTTCATGGCAATTCTTACATTACGTGAAAGCAATTTGATTATGACCCTTGAAGTCATTAACAAAAACTGTATTTGTTTTTCTCTTCCAGTGTGGGTCATTTGCAGGAGCAATCAGTGTAGTGCTTGTAATAACACTAATGAGTCTTAGGTTCCCATATATGTACTATGCATCGTGGAAAATATATATCGCAGCCTTTATACTTCCGTTTGCTGGTTTCCTGTTTGGTTACGTTGTTGCCGTGATTTGTCGCCAGGACCCAGTCAGGTGTAGAACAATTGCTTTAGAGACGGGGATACAAAACTTTCCTCTTTGCATGACATTATTACTACTGACATTTTCAAAACAAATATTTGCACAGATTTCATTGTTTCCATTATTGTATGGTGTAACGTGTATAATATGTAGCTTGGGATTTTTAGGCATTTACAAAATAGTGAAAAAGGTAAAATCTACACGAGAGAAGAACAAAGAATTTATCAGTGTGTCAACTATCGGAGACGACAAAATTGTATTTAAGAATTGAATGCTTCTTTTTGTAAATTTATTGGGGTGTAAAAGCGTTGACCGAAGTACATTTTGTATGAAGCGCGGAAGCGCTTCATTCTAAAAATGTGCGCACGGTCAACGCTTTTACAACCCTATTAAATTACTAAAAGAAGCATTCAATACTTATAATTACATTTTTTTGCTATGATCATAAAAACACGTTTTCTATCAAGTTTTTCTTTTATTTACCTGTGCACTTTATTGTGGAAGCTCGTATCATCATGAATGTTACATTTCATTTTGAAATGAAGGTTAATTTCGAATGAATGAATGAATTTTATTCTCATCAACTAATGACATAGTTATAGAGACAATATAATATAATATACAGTGCATGTGTGAAATAATGATATACATTAACCAGGAGGAGAGACTTTCACATAAACAGCTTAAATATATCGACATAATTTTTCAAAAATTGCAATATTACTTGAGGAAAACAGATAGCATAATTTCAAGGTGTTTGCATTTTTCCAACAAAATTCCGGTAAATATTTTTGTCTTTCGTTATCGAAAGATTTACAAGACAATATATAATGATACTCGTCACCGATTTCAGCCGAGCCACAGATACGACACAATCTATCATTTCTTGACAGATTATGCCATCTCCCTGTCTCGACTGGTAAACGGTGACTACCACATCTAAATTTACAAAACATATACATACAATTCAATGGTAAAATAGATATATATTCTTCAAATTTAAATTCTGTTTTAAATATTCTATAACATATACCTTTAGAGGTAGAATTCATATTTTCATGCCATTCCTGTATAAATTGGTCGACCAGTTTTGTTCTACACATTTAGAAATCCACAAAGCAGAAAAAGTACCCTGTTGATTCCAAATATTTGACATTCCACAATTATCTAATGTGTTTTTTATAAAACGTAACCATTTACTCTCCAAACCATAATTATTAGAGTCAATAAATAATAGATTATATAAAAGTGAGGAGACTTTACATTCTTCTCCATGTAAGAGACGACACCAAAACTTTACCATACGAACTCTTGCATGAACTGAATCTTCCCAGCTCTCCGTAAATCATAAAATTTGGAGTAGATTGTTTCAAATGTAGTATAAGTTTGCAAAATTGCAAATGAACTTTTTCGAGTAACTCCAAGTTTTCAAAACCCCAAATTTCACATCCATACAAAAGTATCGGTAAAATAGTTTTGTCAAACATATCTAATTGACATTCAATAGATAAATTGTTTTTTCTACATTTTTGAAACAATCCATACATTGCTTTTGTAGCTTTTCCATATAAATATTTTCTTGTCTTTAAAAAAGAGCCACTTTTTGAAAATATAATTCCAAGATATCTATATTCGTTTACTATCTCGATTTCATGATCTTCAATATTAAATTTTAAATTCTTTGACAGTCGACCTTTTGAAAATACCATAACTTTTGTTTTCTGCACATTTATTTTCAGTTTCCATTGTTTACAATAATCACAAAACTCGTTAAGCATCAATTGTAAGTCTTCATTTGATTCTGACATCAAAATTGCATCGTCAGCATACAGTAAAATAAACATTTTGAAATAAACCATTAATTCATTTTCTATATCTTTACTAACAGTTTCTAAACCTTTAGCATTTGTAGTTTCTAGAAAGTCTTGCAAGTCATTTAGATATAAAGAAAACAATATAGGAGAGAGATTCTCCCCTTGTCTAACTCCTATATCACAAGCAAAGAAGTCAGACTTTTCATTATTATGTACTATACAGGATTTCGTATCTGAATACATATTTTTTACAATTCTAAAAAATTTCCCATTTATGTGGTTCTGAAGAAGTTTGAAAAATAAAGAGTTTCTATGTACAAAATCAAAGACTTTTTCAAAATCTACAAACGCACAGTAAAGTTTCTTTCTTTTTAAAAACAATAATTGAAACAATACATACAGAGAAAAAATATGGTCGTTGGTAGAATATTCGGATCTGAATCCAACTTGATTCTCATGTAAAATCTTATAATGATCGAAAAATGTACTTAATCTATCATTCAAAATAGATGTGAATATCTTTCCAATGCAAGATAATAGTGTTATGGGTCTATAATTTTTTGGTTCCATTTTACTCCCTTTATTTTTAAAAATAGGTAAAACATTACCAAAAAGCCACGACTCTGGTACAATACCTGTATCAAAAATCAAATTGAATAAATAATAAATGTCAATCATAGAATCCAATGAAGATGAAATGTATTCATTAATAATTAAATCATCACCTGGAGACTTGTTATTTTTCGCTTTTTTTACTGCTTTTCTGATTTCATCTGCTGTTATTTCCTTGTTAATCATCTCAATTACTTCGTCTGAATTTATCTCGTTTGTAATAACAAAATCGTCTGAATGTTCTTTGTTTGTATCTAAATCTTTAAAAAAGTCAACCAAAGTTTGCAAAGGAATTTTTGAAATATCTCTTTGCCTATTACCATGAAAAAGTTTCCAAAATTCTTTGGGATTTTTTGTTCTCATGTTTTTCATTTTGTTTCGAAAATCTGTATTAAATCTCACAATAGCATTATCCATAGATTTCTTATAAGAAAGTTCACTCACCCTTCTTTAAATATATTTGAACCATATTTTTTACACAGTCTTTTTGATTTTCTGAATTCTTTTTTTGCTTTCAATCATTCCAGATCAAACCATTGCTTTTTTGAATGTCTTTCATGTGCTTTACTACCTGTCAGACCGAAAGTAGTTTCTGCCGATTTCAATAAAATATTACAAAGATCAAAAACTACTTCATCTACTTCCGGTTTTCGTGCGTTTTCTTTTGCATTATGTAATGATTGTATCTTAACAAATAATTTTTCAATCATTTCTCCATCTAAATTATCTCTAAAATCCAATGTTTTTTCACATTTCCATTTAACAATTTTTGGTGTAAAATTATTTTTCTCAAAATCTGAATGCTTCTTATTTTTACAGCTCAAGGTAAGTGAAATAGGTGAGTGAACATCTGAAAAAAGTCTACAAAACTCTTGTACTTCAAAGTCGAGTATATTCTCAAGAACATTACAAGTGCATAAAAAATTATCATATAATCAACTACACTTTAATTTTTACAAGTCATTCTACCAATACTATCTTTCCCAAATCTACCATTTAAGATAAACATATTATTGTTTTTACAAAATTCAATAAGTTTTCTACCATACTTATTTACAATAGTGTCAGAATTTTTTCTATACCTTGATATGTTCATATCATCAAGAATACATATATCTGAAAATACATTTATATCGGATATTTCATTAAATTGAGTATCATCAGTATCTTCAGTTTCATGGAAATCTTTGAGTGTTGCAGTTCGACTATTGAAATCGCCAAGTAAACACATGTAGTCATTATTCTTACTAAAATTTTGAAACTCAAATTCAATTTCCGAAAAGGCTTCATCTGACGCATACGTTTTATTTTCTGGGGGTATATAAGTAATACCAAATATAATATTTTCTTGAAAATCAAAATTTTCTTTTTCAACAGAAAACCAGAAAACAAAAGGACATTCTGATTCTATTACAGTAATGTAACGTTCTAAATATTTTTTGTAACCTATAGCAATACCACCAGATTTGTAGTTTGAAATTTTCTTTCTTTTTTTATACTTGAAAAATCAATAGTGTCTATATCATCAAGCTTTGTTTCTTGAAAACAAACAATATCAAATGTATTTATTAAACATTGAAATTCGGGATAAAATAATCGTTGCTTGACACCACATACATTTAGAGATAATATTTTAATATCTGAGTTCTTGTTCACTGTGTAGAGAGTTGATCCGTGAAAGTCAACCGAATCGTTAGAATTGTCACTGTTCACTGAGTTTGTTTGCCCTCCATGGTTCACCTATCTTCCGTTACTTGAGGTTTCATCCGAAGTGAGATCATCTCGTCTGTTTCGTCGTCTTGTTTTTGGACGTGCTCCTTGTGATTGAAAATCCCGTCGTGTAGTATTTTCGGCTATATCTGATGGTAGAGGCTTAATTTCTTTTCAATCAATAAAAAGTCTGTCTCGTTTGATAAGAGCTTTTTTGTTTTGTTTTCGAGCTTCTTTATAATAGGGCCACAATAACTTTCTTCTTTCGTTGATTTCTTTAGGGAATTGTTCTGAAACACCAAAGGTAGTCCCCTTAAGATTAGTTGCAGACTTCCGTACTATTTCTCTGTCCTTAAAGCTTTTGAATCTGCATACAATTGGTTTGGTTTTTAATGTTGTCCCGTCTCGATTTTTTCTCTCATTCAGCTGTCCGAATCGGTGTGCTCTGTGGAAATCAATCTCTGTTTCCATTTTCATATGTTCTGTCATGAATACTTTCAAAATTCCGTCCGTTGTATCCTGTATTCCTGTGAAAACTAGGTTCTCACGCATCGACCGAATCTTAGAGATCTAGGTGTTTTTCTTGTAGTTCATCGAGATTATTCTGCACCCTTTGCATGTTTTCTGCCACTTCGTTGTTTTCAGATCTAATAGCAGTAATTTCAGATTTCATGTCGGATAGATCATTTCTATTTACCTCAAATTGTGAGTTTATAAAGTCCAAACTTTTTTCTATGTCTCCTACTCTATCTGTAATTTTTCCTACATTGCTTGAAACTGTTTGCATACTTCTTTCAAATTTGTCAATTTTTTCACCAAAAGAGTCAAGAATAGATAATTTTGTCAACATTTCTTCCACCTTTTGTCCCAGATTGTCAATTTTGATGTTTGTGTCGTGTCCCATATTCATTGTTGAATGCATAACTGGTTGAATATTTGGAATAGGTTGGGGTCCATAAAGATAATAGCCCGTTGGTGAGGTGAACTTTGGGGTTGACATGATGTGTTGTATACTGTGGTATGCTGGATCTTCCAGGGAGGATAGGAAAATCAATATTCTGTATGTACGTTGACATATTTAAAGTCTGTAATTTATCGACAGTTTTATTTTTTAAACTATTTTTCGGTTTGTTTACATTCTCATGTTTTGAATCGTGAGTACTACTTTGTTGTTTCTTACTTGGTTTCTCCGTGCTAACATTTTCAGGTTTTGAATTCCTCCTTTTCTGACCTTTCTGACCTTTCTTGCCATCCTTTTTATGATTCATGTAGTTAATACACTAGTTTGCTAATACATTCCTCATACAATAACTTTCACAATAATAGTTAACTTCTAGTTATTGTCTTTTTTCGGGATAAAAAATTGGTCGACATATTTTCTCCACACATGCGCGGAATGACGCGAGATTGTTGTTTGCCAATCACAATAACGTATTATAATGAAACATACATGTAATGTAATTATATGGTAATAAATAGGATCAATGTATACTCTGAAATAAAATAAATAAACCCGTCATACAGGTATTTTCTTGTAACGTTAACCTTGATTTTACCATAGGAATCCAAAGAATCCTAATGAATTATATCCAAAAAGTTCACATCCTAATTATCATGCGTACTCATTTTCCAATTCAAATGGTTACAACGTCATAGTAAACTACCTTAAAACAAAAGGTAAACCTGATACGGGACGGACGGACGAACACAAACCTGATACGGGACGGACAAACACAAACCTGATACGGGACGGACGGACGAACACAAACCTGATACGGGACGGACGGACAAACACAAACCTGATACGGGAAGTACGAACGAACACAAACCTGATACGGGACGGACGAACGAACACAAACTTGATACGGGACGGATGGACGAACACAAACCTAATACGGGACGGACGGACGAACACAAACTTGATACGGGACGGACGAACGAACACAAGCTTGATACGGGAAGTTCGAACGAACACAAACCTTATACGGGACGGACAAACGAACACAAACCTGATACGGTACAGACGGACGAACACAAACCTGATACGGGAAGTACAAACGAACACAAACCTGATACGGGACGGACAACCGAACACAAAACACAAACCTGATACGGGACGGACGGACGGACAAAAACATGATACTACGAACGAACACAAACCTGATACGGGACGGACAAACTAACACAAACCTGATACGGGACTGACGAACGAACAAAAACCTGATACGGGAAGTACGAACGAACACAAACCTGATACGGGACGGACGAACGAACACAAACCTGATACGGGACGGACGGACGAACACAAACCTGAACCGGGACGGATGAACGAACACAAACCTGATACGGAACGGAAGAACGAACACAAACCTGATACGGGATGGACGAACGAACACAAACCTGATACTGGACGGACGAACGAACACATACCTGATACGGGACGGACGAACGAACACAAACCTGATACGGGATGGACGAACGAACACAAAACTGATACGGGACGAACAAACGAACACAAACCTGATACGGGAAGTACGAACGAACACAAACCTGATACGGGACGGGCGAACGAACACAAACCTGATACGGGACGGACGAACGAACACAAACCTGACACGGGACGGGCGAACGAACACAAACCTGATACGGGACGGACGAACGAACACAAACCTGACACGGGACGGACGAACGCACCGACTAGAATACATGATGGCCCCTACCATCGTTGTCGGCTCACAAAAACAGAATTGTCGATAGTGTCTGGTTCCACTGTTCCTCTGGAAGTTGTACACTTAGCTTTTATCAGTCAATAAAAACAGACACACCACCCACGACCTCTCGCACTCAAGGCAAATAGGCTATTACGTGATTAATGTTTTTTGTTAATTGTCTTGCCTGTTTCGTCGCTTAATTTACCGTTTTTATGTGTAACGCCTTCGTATCTTCAAAAGTTTTTGTAATCAAACCTCTAAATCATTGGAATAACAAAATAGCAATAATACAAAAGAAGTTTACTTGATACATGTACATGTGATAACTGTATTCAAAAAAGATTATAAGGTACAGGCAAATCGATTATAAATGATACATATGAGTTTTAATCAGAATCTTGTTAGATGATGGAACAAATAATATCCAAGCATGTCATGAATCACCTGGATAAACTCAAATCATTTTATTGGTGTAAAATCCAAATATTGGGTTGTTACCAAGATAAACATCACAATATTTACAAACATACAACATTTAGATTTAAGCAACATTCATATTATATAAGTATCTCATAAATTTAGATATTTTGGAGGAGGTGATACTATTGCAAACATGACATACTTGTCGAATTCCAACATGGTTTCAAGAGGAAAAGATCAGGCGAGTCCAAGCTAGTCATTACCACAGAAGACGTACTACGCAATCTCAACAAGAACCAACAAGCGGACATGTTGATTTTAGATTTCAGCAAAAGATTCGATACTGTGCCTCACCAACGCTTACTGGAAAAACTACGGTCATACGGTATCAGAGGTCGGTCACATAGTCATATGGATAGAAGTATGTCTTACCAAACAGGATCAACAAGTAACGCAAAAATTTAGATATTTTGGAGGAGGTGATACTATTGCAAACATGACATACTTGTCGAATTCCAACATGGTTTCAAGAGGAAAAGATCAGGCGAGTCCAAGCTAGTCATTACCACAGAAGACGTACTACGCAATCTCAACAAGAACCAACAAGCGGACATGTTGATTTTAGATTTCAGCAAAAGATTCGATACTGTGCCTCACCAACGCTTACTGGAAAAACTACGGTCATACGGTATCAGAGGTCGGTCACATAGTCATATGGATAGAAGTATGTCTTACCAAACAGGATCAACAAGTAACGCAGGAAGGAGAAAACTCGGGTACAGCCAAAGTTACATTGGTGTTCCACAAGGAAATGTACTGGGTCCTGTGATGTTTCTTCTCTACATCAATGACATCGGAAAAAACGTCAGCTCTAAAATTCGACTGTTCGCTGATGACAGTCTACTTTATGTAGCAATTTGCAGCAAAGGTGACTGTAAAAGCCTACAAAAAGATCTTGACAAAATGGTAAACTGGACAAAAAACTGGCAAATGATTTCCAACCCTTTGAAATGCTATATTGTAAGAATTACAAATAAGAGAACAACAATAGATTTAGAATATATAATCAACGGCCATATACTAGAATCAGTGAAATCAAATCCATACCGGGGAGTGGAAATAACCAATAACATGCCATGGGACATCCAAGTACAGAAATTTGTAACCAAGAGAATGGTACACTGTCATTTATTAGGCGTAACGTGGGCACATGCATAGAAGAAGTAAAGAAACAAGCTTACTTGCACTTGTAAAACCCCCCTTTAGTATTCAAGTAGTGCGACCCCTATCTTAAAAATCATGTAAATCAAATAGAAATGTCCAACGCCGTTGAGTACGCTTTATTAAAAGAAACCATTCTAGAGAACGGTACTGTAACATCAATCCTAGAACAACTAGGACTACAACCAGTATCAGCAAGGAGCATATCCCGGATTACTCTACCAAATAAAGCAATACACAACAATATAGCAATACCCATTTCATCATATATCATCAAACCTGCCAGAACTTCAAGACATTACCATCCTTACCATCCGAACAGATACATTGAACGGCAGACACACACACAAACGTATCTTAAAAAAAGTTTTCCAAGCACAACCAAGGAATGAAACATACTACCAGGCAATCAATTTAGTGCAGTGAGGGGTTTAAAACACGACTCCCTAACACTAGTATCAAGCTATCCACCAATTCTCATCCTACAATTCTCTTTATAAAAAGCTATCCTGCAATTCGTCATCCTGCAATTGCGTTTGGAAAACTACTTGAGCGACAATTTTATTTTTCTTTAAAATCATAGTTTTTGACTTTTTTGTTCGAAAACAAGATAAATATAAAAAATAAATTATTTGTTTATCCGATTAACAAAATTTTAACTTTAGTTTTGCAGATTTCTAACTCATATTTACGGTTTTGTAATAAGCATTTACAATAAAAAATTCATTATGACGATTCAAATAAAGTATTATCTGTTAAGTCCAGGATGTGATTCGTATTTCTGCATGTTTAATCAACATTTGCAATTTTTTCAAAACTCATATTAACGACTAAAAATAAAGAATTTTGAAGTAGAATAATTTTTTCATGGCATACCGACTTAAAAACTTCTATTTGAAACTGGGCCACCTACCTTCCAACCTATTGCATCGGCAGTTCTGTATGGCTAGGGATTATAGACTCTGCTCTAATAAATAGCTATTGGAAAGAACTACAGTGGGACGGTAAAGAATTTCTGGGGTAAGCATTCTTAAAGGCCGAAAATTTCGCTCGAAACATAGAAATAAAGCCAAATTCGACAAAATAAGCTTTGGGGACACCCACTTTCCGACCCATTGTCTCGGTTGTTCTTTATAGCTAGGGATTATAGAAGCTGCCTTAATTAATAGCTATTGGAAAGTACTACAACGTGAGGATAAAGAATTTCTGGGGTAAGCATTCTGAAAGGCCGAAAATTTCGTCAGTAACATAGAAATAAAGCCAAATTCGACAAAATAAGCTTTGGAGACACCCACTTTCCGACCCATTGTCTCGGTGGTTCTTTATGGCTAGGAATTATAGACGCTGCCTTAATTAATAGCTATTGGAAAGTAATACAACTTGAGGATAAAGAATTTCTGGGGTAAGCATTCTGAAAGGCCGAAAATTTCGTCCGTAACACGGAAAAAAGTCAAATTTGATAAAATACGCATTGGGCACTTTCCAACCTATTGCCTCGGCAGTTCTGTATGGCTAGTGATTATAGACTCTGCTCTAATAAAAAGCTATTGGATAGTACTACAGCGGGAGGGTAAAGAATTTCTGGGGTAAGCGATCTTAAAGGCCGAAAATTTCGCTCGAAACAATGAAATAAAGCCAAATTGGATAAAATACGCGTTGGGGACACCCACTTTCCGACCCATTGTATCGGTTGTTCTTTATGGCTAGGGATTATAGACGCTGCCCTAATTATTATCTATTGGATAGTACTAAAACTAGAGGATAAAGAATTTCTGGGGTAAGCATTCTGAAAGGCCGAAAATTTCGTCCGTAACACGGAAAAAAGTCAGATTTGATAAAATACGCATTGGGCACTTTCCAACCTATTGGCTCGGCTGTTCTGTATAACCAGGGATGATAGACTCTGCTCTAATCAATAGCTATTTGATAGTAATACAGCGGGAGGGTAAAGAATTTCTGGGGTAAGCATTCTTAAAGGCCGAAAATTTCGCTCGAAACATAGAAATAAAGCCAAATTCGATAAAATACTCGTTGGGGACACCCACTTTCCGACCCATTGTCTCGGTTTTTCTTTATGGCTGGGGATTATAGACGCTGCCCTAATAAATTGCTATTGGATAGTACTACAACGTGAGGATAAAGAATTTCTGGACTAAGCATTCTGAAA